GTGTCCAACTCTTTGCAACCCCATGGGCTGTAGTCTGCCAGGCTCCTCCATCCATGGGATTCTCCAGGCAAGAATACTGGAGTGGGTTGCCCTTTCCTTCTCCAGGGAAACTTCCCAACCCATTGATTGAACCTGGGTCTCCTGCTTTGCAGGCAGACTCTTTACCATCTGAGCCACCAGGGAATTAGTATTTAAAAGTTTAAATGCTAACTTTTTTTACTACCTTATGATATTTAATATTTATTAAGGTCTTGAAATGTGGCATATTTTTTTCTATGTCCTTTTGAATGCATTATCTCATTTAATCCTCCCAAGAACTTTAGGAACAGTTTCTGTATACCTATTTTATAGGCAAATAACCCAAACATTAGAGACTGGGTAAATTGCCCAAGTTTATATAATGTGTAATAGCCTGCATTTAAACTCAGGCAGTTTGGTTCCAGAACACTAGTTTTAACCACCAGGGCAGTGATCTTTAATCCTGGCTGCACACTAGAATCACCAGGGGAAATTAAAAACAAAAACACACTGATGCCCAGAATTCTCATTTAAACTGATTTCTGTGGACAGAGTCTTAACATTACAGAGAGGGTTGTGACTGACTAAGCCAGACTATATTGTCACCTTAACATACATGGAATAGTCACAAACATCTATAGGAAACATTTGTACTGTAAACATCTGTACCAAAATTGTAAGTTAAAAAAAAAAACTGCTAAATAGCCAAATCACAGGATATGAAGACTTTTGATGCCTTTTCCAATTTTACTCTCACAAAGAAAAACTACGACCTTCATCTTTTTAAAGACTGACAGGCAGTGCAGAAGGAAAATCAAAGAGGGTAGGGGTAAAAAGGAAAAGGTGACAGAGTATCAAGAAAAGAAGGAAGAGAATAGCTGAAATTGGGGTTGTTGAAGTAATAAGACACCATCTACCGATGAGCAGTCAGTAATATCAAAGGCGTATTTGTGGAATGTTTCCTTTCGGTAATTGTACAAAGACTCCCTTGCCATTGCAAAGCACTTTTCTTCTTGGCAGATTGAAGAATGTTTTACCAACTAAATGCATCCCAGTAATATTCAGAGCTTAGGACCAACATAATCATAAGTTGCCTTGTTATTGCGGAGGTAAGCAGCCCCATTTAATAACATATAAAATGTATTATTCATTTATGTAACTCAGACCCAGGGACAGCTGCTGGGATGAAAATAGAACCATTCTGTAATGCACAAAGCAGGTGTGTGCTTACTTGAGTAAATGAACTCTATTTCTGCTCAATTTTCTTGTAACTTTCAGAGACCGGTCTGGTAGGGCTAATGTGAAGCCATTTTCATCCAGGAAATAAAATGGTCTCAGAATGGTTTTTAATGAGCATTGAAAAAATTACCAATGGTCTTTTCTGTGGCAGAATCCCAGGGGAATGGATTCATGCTTTGTATTTAAGCAGATCTCCTGTTGCTACAGGCTTCAGGAAAGCCCAGGGTGGTGATTGGTCAGAACAGTGACGCACAAAAGGAATGTTCTCTAGCTGATGATGCTGGCGGTGATGGTGAGCCCATGCTGCCAGAGCTGCTCGCCAAGATAGAGTCACAGGTGTGCTTGGACGCTAAGTGATTAAAGTTATAACCTGCCTTTAATGTGCGTTGTGCCTGGCTTCTGAAACACGCAGGGAGTTTGTAATGCAGTTTAACTCACTGGGATGCCGTAATTACTGTATGACACTGCTGGTCACTTCTCTGCTACCATTGCTGGTACCAGAATGTCACCATTCTCCAGTGTCCGCATCTTTTTTTTTTTTCCCCAGCTGCCCTTATTTTCTTTCAAATCAGCCTACAGTCATAAGCACCTACATGGACTTTTCAAAATATTTAATATCAGATGGGATGATCTGAAGATGTTCAGACATGGCAGTGACCAGTCAGAATGAGTAGGGATCTCAGTACAGGAGCAGGATTTAGGAAGCTCCCTGGTGTATTAACGCTAAGTGATTAAAGTTATAACCTGCCTTTAATGTGCGTTGTGCCTGGCTTCTGAAACACGCAGGGAGTTTGTAATGCAGTTTAACTCACTGGGATGCCGTAATTACTGTATGACACTGCTGGTCACTTCTCTGCTACCATTGCTGATACCAGAATGTCACCATTCTCCAGTGTCCGCATCTTTTTTTTTTTTTCCCCAGCTTCCCTTATTTTCTTTCAAATCAGCCTACAGTCATAAGCACCTACATGGACTTTTCAAAATATTTAGTATCAGATAGGATGATCTGAAGATGTTCAGACATGGCAGTGACCAGTCAGAATGAGTAGGGATCTCAGTACAGGAGCAGGATTTAGGAAGCTCCCTGGTGTATTAGGTGTTAACCCATTCACTTCCAGATTGCCAGGAAAAGCAAGGACTCCAAGGATAGGGGTTAACATAGCAGGATTGGTGGGTGTGGTGCCTGCAGGGTTTGGGGCCAGTGATGATAGCCAGTTTCTTGACAGATATTTCAACATTCAAACTCTATACAGTCATCCCAGTGTGGACCTAGTGAGTATCAGCCTTGCATGTCTAGGGCACAAGTATGCCCTCAATGAGGAGCTTAAAGTTCACAGTCACACAAAGGAAGAAAATCATACAAGGCATTGCTGATTCCTATAAGTAAATCATAAGGATTCCTGTAAGAGATGACACATGTCTCACCTAATTTAAAGAGGTAGTGCAGTACAGTGGTAACAAATACATGTATCCTAGATCCAAATTGTCTAGGTGCTGGCTGTGTGATCTTGAGAAAACTAGTTTAAGTTCTATGAATCTTAATTTGTTCATCTGTTTATTGGGAGTAGTGATACCTTCTTTATTAGGGATAGTTTGAAAGCAAATCATGTTGAGAACTTAGCATAGTGTCTAGAACATATTAGTGAAAGAGTTAGTCGTTCCGTCGTGTCCAACTCTTTGCAATCCTTGGACTGTAGCCGACCAGGTTCCTCTGTCCATGGATTTCTCCAGGCACGAATACGGAGTGGGTAGCCATTCCTTTATCTAGGGGATCTTACCAACCCAGGGAATGAACCTGGGTCTCCTGCATTACAGGCAGATTCTTTACTATCTGACCACCAGGAAAGCCCTGAACATATTAGTACTGTCTACATTTGAACTTCTTATGATTTTACTTTCACAATCAGGAAAAGAGAGGAGATAAGCTGCCACTTAAAGTGTGGATAAGTTTTAGGCAGCTGATTAGGCAAAAAGGTGGACATGGAAGCAGAAAGAACAGAAGAAAAGAAGTACTTTCAAGAGGATTGAAAAGAGGTTTGGCTAAAGCAGAAGGAGCTGGTTGGGGAGAAAGAGTCCAGAAAAGTAGAACAAAGTTAGTTTATGGAGGGCTTCAGGCCCAAGTTAGAGGATTTGTGATTTATTCTAAGGAAATGGGAATTTGTGAAGGTTGTGAACAGGGAGGATAGATAATAATGATAAGTAAAATAACTGATAACTTTTCATAATCACTTGCTAATTGTCAGGGTGGTTTTAAGTGTTCTGTGTACATTAATCCATTTCATCCTTATGGTTACCTTATGAGGTGAGTTTAATATTAATACTTGGCCTTACAGTCATCTATAGTGTTCAAAGTGCTTTCCCAGATGGTATTTAATTTTATTTTCTCAATCATGCTTTTAGGGAGTCAGTCTTGAAACTTAAGGACAGAGAAAGGACTTTGGCTAGATTTGAAATAGCTGGTAAGCAACAGCCTGCACACTGCCAGATTTTGTAAATAAAGTTTTATTAGAACCCAGATTCATTTGTTCTTTTATGCATTCTCTATGTACACTTTAATGTTACAACCCGAGAGTTGAGTACTTGTGACTAAAGCTATATAACCTGCAAAGCTAAAACATTTATTCCCTGGCACTTTATGTGAAAAGTTTGTCAACTTATGGTCTAGAAGAATGGAAAGACCTTGGACTTTTGATTGCTTCCATTTTGAGATCTACCAGTACCTTCCTCAGGTAGATTGGAGAAACCAAATATATGAATACATAATGTGGCTGCTGTGGACTCCACACAAAAAAAGATGATGAAGACATAACATTGGACCTCAAAAGTCTTAAAGAAAACCCACAGATCCTAATTTACTATAAATCTGATAAATTGTATAGGACAAATTGGTAGCATATTTTTTTTTCCTATTAAGTCTAAAACAAGAAAAAAGCAAAACAGAGGGAGGATTTACTCAATCTATAGTCTGCAGTTTCCTTAATGTGAAATTTCAATAGCTTAGGCATTATATCGCATGAAATATTGAGTAGAAACTCTCAAGTTTAGCCACATTTCTGTTCTGTACCATGAGAGCAACAGCTTGTACAGTATCTAATGTTGAGACATATAATGCATAATAATCTATTCTTTCTTTGAACTGTACTTTCCTTTGCAATATATACATGTATATATTACAACATATATAGTACTCATTCTGACCTTTAATTATATAGCCTTTGAAGTATTTTCTGGACTATCCATGTATAGATGGTAAAAAATCCACCTGCAATGCAGGTGGATTGGGACGATCTCTTGGAGGAGGGCATGGCAACCCACTCCAGTGTTCTTGCCTGGAGAATTCCCATGGACAGAGGAGCCTGGTGGGCTACAGCCCATGGGGTTGCAAAGAGTTGGACACGACTGAGCAACTAAGCTCACATCTTTTCACCTGAATTATAAACCTATTGTGGGTAAGGAAAGACCACGTCTTCTCCTGCTATGCATTTCTGACAACTCCAAAGTGAAATCGTTTATCTATCCACTAAGTGAATGAAAGCATAAATTAAAATGGTAATAATGATGCATTATGTTCCTATGATGATTTGCCTCTCTGTTGGGTGCTTACTATAAACAAACTGTGATCTTCCTGACACCATGAAAGGTAGTTATTGCTAGCCCTCAGGGCTAGGCAGAAGGTTTGAAAAGTTGGGAGTGATCCAAATTATCATGAGCTGAATTACAGTTTGAGCTTTTTCCCCATATAGGTATAGAAAGGTGGTTTCCAATAACTGCACCGATGGAGTGAGAGAACAGTACACAGCCAAGCCACAGAAGTGCCCAGGGAAGGCCCCCCGGGGGCTCCGGATCGTCACCGCTGATGGAAAGCTGACGGCGGAACAAGGACACAACGTTACTCTCATGGTGCAGCTGGAAGAGGTAGGACCAGGTCCTGCCTCCCCTCTACCTTCTAGAGCCAGTGACGTTTGCTTAGAAATCATGATTTGGTTTACATGTCTTTTTGTCTTTGTTTACATGTTTTTTTGTTTTGTTTGCATAGATTTTTTTTTAAATTTTAAATTTTATTTAAAATTTGTATTCTCCTTTTAGTTCCTTGGTATTTGTTATTATAAGTTTGCCTTCTCTGACGCAGTTCTTCAATTGCTTTTATTTCACTGCAAGTTGTTCTTCATTCTTATTGAACCTGTAACTTCTTAGGGATTCTGTCTGGATTTAATCCTCTATTATTGGCAATTTTAACAAATACAAATTTGTTTTCGCAAATACATTAATAGTATTCCTAGAACAGCTTAACACATATACATACTGAACTAACCTAAAAACTGCTAATGCTGTCTTCCTCCTTTAATCTGAGGTCATGGCTTTTCTTTCTAAAGACAACATAACCAGTCATACATATAGATAACATCAAGACCAATCTAAACTAATTGAATATAATTTAATTGATATTTGAGAGGTTTATTGTTTTAATATTAATAGTGCCTCAGGGATATTATTATAAACATCAATTATTATTTGCCAGACTATAGTTATCTGAAGTTTCTGAGTAATTAGATGGTAGAATAAGATGACATTTATATTACATATTTGAGAATATTCTGTTTACGGCGTGTTTGTCATCTTGTAAATGAGGAAAATGCCCTCTAAAGGATAAACATTTTCATTAAATGATCTTAATTACTAAACTAAGCTGTCGTACTTCAACCATGTTTTCTGTGTACCTAAAATATGGCGAACACTGCTTTCAGCCATGGGATTGCAAAGGAATCTGAAAAGTTCACAGTGACACCAGGATAAAGATATACAGCATTGTCTTCTCCCCTTCTCTTCTGATAGTTCAGTGACTCTCCATCTCTAACATACATAAAAATTACCCGCTGAGCACGTTAAAACAGTTTTCTGGGCTGCATCTTCAAAGATTCTCATACAGGAGGTTGAGGTAAGACCCAAGAGTATCCTTTTCTAACAGGGTCATAGGTTATGCATTATGCTTCAAGAAAAAAGAAAGAAAGAAACAAGGGCAACATCAAGAGGGACAGGCCACACAACGTTACTCTCATGGTGCAGCTGGAAGAGGTAGGACCAGGTCCTGCCTCCCCTCTACCTTCTAGAGCCAGTGACGTTTGCTTAGAAATCATGATTTGGTTTACATGTCTTTTTGTCTTTGTTTACATGTTTTTTTGTTTTGTTTGCATAGATTTTTTTTTAAATTTTAAATTTTATTTAAAATTTGTATTCTCCTTTTAGTTCCTTGGTATTTGTTATTATAAGTTTGCCTTCTCTGACGCAGTTCTTCAATTGCTTTTATTTCACTGCAAGTTGTTCTTCATTCTTATTGAACCTGTAACTTCTTAGGGATTCTGTCTGGATTTAATCCTCTATTATTGGCAATTTTAACAAATACAAATTTGTTTTCGCAAATACATTAATAGTATTCCTAGAACAGCTTAACACATATACATACTGAACTAACCTAAAAACTGCTAATGCTGTCTTCCTCCTTTAATCTGAGGTCATGGCTTTTCTTTCTAAAGACAACATAACCAGTCATACACATAGATAACATCAAGACCAATCTAAACTAATTGAATATAATTTCATTGATATTTGAGAGGTTTATAGTTTTAATATTAATAGTGCCTCAGGGATATTATTATAAACATCAATTATTATTTGCCAGACTATAGTTATCTGAAGTTTCTGAGTAATTAGATGGTAGAATAAGATGACATTTATATTACATATTTGAGAATATTCTGTTTACGGCGTGTTTGTCATCTTGTAAATGAGGAAAATGCCCTCTAAAGGATAAACATTTTCATTAAATGATCTTAATTACTAAACTAAGCTGTCGTACTTCAACCATGTTTTCTGTGTACCTAAAATATGGCGAACACTGCTTTCAGCCATGGGATTGCAAAGGAATCTGAAAAGTTCACAATGACACCAGGATAAAGATATACAACATTGTCTTCTCCCCTTCTCTTCTGATAGTTCAGTGACTCTCCATCTCTAACATACATAAAAATTACCCGCTGAGCACGTTAAAACAGTTTTCTGGGCTGCATCTTCAAAGATTCTCATACAGGAGGTTGAGGTAAGACCCAAGAGTATCCTTTTCTAACAGGGTCATAGGTTATGCATTATGCTTCAAGAAAAAAGAAAGAAAGAAACAAGGGCAACATCAAGAGGGACAGGCCAGTCCGAGAGGCTCCAGAGGGTGACTTAAAGGGGAAAAGATGCAGTTAGGATTACATTGTTAGGTTTGCTCAAAATACTTGGTATTTTAATTTCCATAGAAAAACCTGTGATCTAATGAGTTGGAATTCCTGGCTCCAGTGATGCCGTTGCTTTCAGTCCAGCAACCACTTAGACAAGCACTGCTCTAACCTAATACTCTTTTTTCCTGTCTCCTTAGTAAGTGCCTTTTAACCATGCCCAGTATTCTAAACACTAAGTTTCCCCAATGTTCTTCAGTTGGAACTAGAAAGAGATGGGCCAATTTAGGCTAGTTGGAGTCACTTGCATTTCACAGAAATAAATCTTGGGGGAACATCTGCCTGAGGCTATGACAGACTAGCTTGCTGGAAACCACATAAATATGTATTATGTAGAGCAAGAGTTAGAGAGAGTGGAAAAGCGAGAAACACACACACAGAAAAGGAGGAGGAGGACTTAGGAAATTTCAGTTCTTTTCTTGAGAGATAGGAAGCTCCTTATGATAACTTATGCTGTGTTTCATGTTGTATTTCCCCTCAAGAACTTTGCCAGTTCATCTATCACACTGTATAAGATTTCAGATTCCCAGTAGAAGGTCAGACAGAAAGTGTTGGCTAAACATCTGTTGGTGAACTCGAGGTTGGGAAGATAAAGATTGGACTTCAGAGTTACCAAGTCAGCTGGGACTGATGATGTTAAATCCTAGAGAGGAGAGAAACATAGAGAAGTTGTATAATATTCTGTGTTGTTTGTTTCCTTGGGGGATTCCATGGTGGCTTAATTGGTGCAGAATCTGCCTGCATGCATGCCCAGGTTCAATCCCTGGGTTGGGAAGATCCCCTGGAGAAGGGAATGGCTACCCACTCCAGTATTCTTGCCTGGAGAATTCCATAGACAGAGGAGCCTGGCAGACTACAGTCCATATGGTTGCAAAGAGTTGGACACAACTGAACCACTACCACTTTTCATTTTCACTTTTGTTTCCTTGAGTTATTTGNCTCCAGTATTCTTGCCTGGAGAATTCCATAGACAGAGGAGCCTGGCAGACTACAGTCCATATGGTTGCAAAGAGTTGGACACAACTGAACCACTAGCACTTTTCACTTTCACTTTTGTTTCCTTGAGTTATTTGACAGTACCTGAGGGATGCAGATAAGACAGCAAGTAATCACTTAGGATATGAAGTCAAACAGGTTTTAGAAGTGTTACACTTTGAGGAGAAAGAAAAAAATTGAATTTAGAGTCTATCAAGGGGAAAGCCCTGGTGAATGATACAAGACTAGATCCTGTAAAGCTCTATGCTAGGAGTAAGGACAAAATGAAATTAGACCAGACTCTCTACATGCTAAAATCCCACCTGAAATTATTTCAGCCCAATCATTATTAGAATGATTTCCCCCCATTTTAAATGTCTGTCAGAAACTGTAACAAATCCTCTTTAGAGGAAAATAGCATATACCAACAGCCTTACTACTTTCTTTTTTTCATTTAAAATTTAGGGTATTTAAATAACTACAGATATATCAAGAATCAGGACCAAGAATGGAAAAAAAAGCAACAGAAAAAAAAAGCTTATTTCCTGAGATACGATTAATATGTTTATGAATATGGGACAAGATATAAAATTTAATCCCACAGCAGTCATCAGTAGGTGGCAGTATTCAAATGGAAGTCATAGAACTGCAGGTATAGGTACTGATATTAAGAATTTAGAGGAGTTTGTAGTAGACTGAACCGAGATGAGTGAAGGATCAGTTTATTAGAAGCAATGACAGTAGGGAATATAGCATTTGGAACATAAGAGGAAAAGAGTAGAAAATAGGGAAAAAAATAATGAGAACAAAGGAAATGGTGGAAAGAGTGAACACAGTCATCCTGAAGGAGAGGAACTGTTAAGGAGCCAGAATTATTTTTGGAGAGATAATGTCAGAGAATTTTCCAAAAATTTGCATGAGATATCAGCATATCAACACAGAGATTCAAGAGAATCTGTAGACTCAAAGCAGGGTATGCACAGAGGGAAACCACTTTTAGATATTGTATTCAATCTACTGACATCATCTAAAAACAAGAGAAAATTTTAAAGCAGTGCAGACAAAAATGGAATGACATGTTTGAAGTGCTGGGGAAAAAATAGTGAAGCTAAAGCAAAAACATTTTTCAGACAAGCAAAAATTGGAATGAGTCATATAAGCTGATTTCTGTGAAAAGAAACACTAAAGGTAATTGTTCGGGCGTAAAGAAAATGACCGCAGGCAAAAGCACAGAAATAACGGAAAGAATGAAGAATAAGAAAGAAGGTGGATATGCTGGTGAACTGAAGTTAATAGCAATTTTGTAGACCAATCATGCTAATCAGTTGTAGAACTTAAAACACATGCAGAATTAAAATACATGACAACAATAATAGAGTATGTGAAAAGAATTAAATGGAATTAAATTGGTTTAAGCTCCATGAAATGTCTGTGAAGAAGTATTGATAAAAATACTCTTTTATATTAGAACCAGCATGTTCAGAATGTGTGCTTTAATATCTAGTCACAAGTGAAAAACAGTAAGGTAATGCTGAACTATCAAACTACTGGTAGGAGAACTAGATGAATATTAAGTGCCTCATTAATCAAAATAAAGTAAAAAAGAGAGAAGAGGAGACATACTATCATTGAGACAAATTGAGCAGATATGAAAATGGTATATGC